TCATGATATAATATATAGAAAATATCTAAATGAATAGGCCCATTGTAATACATACAAATATTTCTAAAACTGATAACTTAATGCAACGGCTAGAATGGTGCTACTTAAGTGTATGTGTACAACTAGAATTACTAAGACCGTGTTGAGAGTGAGATCCAATGAAGTTTACGGTCTTTGGCCTAGAATAGTCCAGAGACCGTACTCTGGTTTACGTGTAAATCTATGGCATAGACTAGATCTATAAAGAGCAGCTCTATGATCTATGGTCGTTACGGATGGTTGAGCGTTCCCGCCTTTAGGATGACCCACTCTATGACCGGCCATGACCCGGCCATGACCTCAATCCATGTTGTTTGTTGTCCAAAGCAAAGGTAGCCTTCGCTAGAAGAAAGTAGAAAGTGGAAGTAGGCAGGCCTGGAAAGCATCCGCCTACTCGCCTACAGATGCAGCGTGGACGTATTGGTATTGACTGCACGTGAGTGTCGAGCATAGATTTTATTATCTCCTTTTTAAGAGTGATTAGATCTAGAATTATCTAGATTCTAGATCTAGATCTAGATCTAGATAATCTAGATATCTAGTCTAGAAATCTAGAATCTAGATCTAGATATCTAGATCTAGATCTAGCGGTGATCTTATAATTATACTTTAGCACGTTGAATTCTTCAATTGAGGCATTGGGGACTTCCGAAACGAGCGACCACTATCACTACTACTACTACTACTACTACTAGAGATCTAGTCTACTATCAGATCTATTCTTCCCCAGACCCTCAGACCAGACTCAACAAGAGTTGGCAGAATGAAACTGATACATCATGTTTGCGTTCTAAATTTAAAGTGAAAGACACTGCTATAGATTCTAGATCTAGAATCTAGATCTAGATCTAGATCTAGATCTAGAAAAGAATAATAGGCTAGCCATTTCGTTTTGTGTATGGTTGCCATTGTAACTCAAATTTCCCCATGCCCCATGATGATCAATTAGTAATTTGAGCAATTCCATGTAATCTATGCACCCACACATAGATCTAGAGATATAATTGATTTGAGGGTTAAACTGCCACAATTTTTGCTGTAGAACACACGTATGGCCACTGAAACCCTTGCAAATCAATTGTTTTCAAGTAAATATCAATCCTAATTGCCAAAACATCAAATCATTGTGAAATGCAGGGGGGCATGCCCCCTGAAACCCCCCATATTGTTAAATTTACTATTTTCAAACATCAATAACTCAATAACTATTGATTTGTGGCAAAAATGAAGACCATGCATTCATGTTTAAAATACTACAACTACAAGAAAAGAAGTATATATAAAGCGTGAACATGAGATGGGTGCATAGGTAAAAAAAAACCTATTTATAAAAGTATAACAGACAGTCAAGTGTAGGCCTACTTTTGTTTTATAAAGGCCACCTTTATTAGAATTATAACCCATGTCTCGCTATTCTCACCCCCCACCCCCCCCTTCCTAACCTGGTGAGAATAGCTCCAAACCCGGTGTGTGCATGAAGCGAGGACTCCCCTTTGACCTCTCCCAGGTCGATAAAATCAGCTAGGCCCTTTGTTGCTTTTACCGTGGTTGGGTACGAATATTAATAATAATGTAAAAACATATTTCGCCTCTCCAATTAAAAAAAAGGCTACTGACGCTACTGAGCGGGATGTGGGACCGGCCGCCGGCCGAACCATTCGTTGTTTGCACATTAAACGATGGCTGGCCTCTCACTCTCTGCCTGCACACAATAAATTATGGTTCAAGGAACACAGGGTGTGTACAAACATAACAAGACACAAGCACGAGACAATAAATGCTCTTGCATGACGGTAGAAGGGTGGTAAATTTTTCAGACCAAATGGGTGAGGGCGTTAAATCGTATTCAGTAGTTTGATAATATAATTAAACTTTCCAAGCTCTTTTCTTTATTTTCATTTTTTAAACTTTTATTCTTTCTTTTTCTTTTTTTCTTGGCTCTTCTTTCCCCTTCTTCTTGAACATTTGGAGTTTTGAGCCAAAAAAGAGCCAGAGAGCCAAATGAAATTCTCCGGGCCAGACACGATCCAAAAGAGCGAAATTTCGGGGATTTGTCTCCAAACTGACAACCCTGACTGTGACTATTCAGAAACTAACAGTAACGAACATGATGCTGTGGAGTGTCAGCCCTGACTCCCCTGGGTCATGCCGCTAACCTCAGCCCTGATTCCCTCAAGGGCCATTTCCGGTAAAATGAGGGGGGGAGAATAGCGAGACATGGGTTATTCTCACCTGGGGTGAGAATATATAAACCACTTCCTTTATAATAAATGTGAGGCATCATGGGGAAATCAGGCACTCGTCAAAATGATGAAACCAGAGAAATCTGCATTTTTCTGGCTGCTTGGAAATTTTTAAAGAATTTTCTTTTATTGGCTCAATACCTTTTAGATTATATGTCAATGTGAAAACACATTTCTGTGTGGATGGTACCGAAAAACGTTCCTTAAAGGTACAAAAAACGTAAATCCAGTTTTCAAAGACGCTCAAACTTTACAAGTCGCCAAACTTGGCAACCATTTTCTTGCTAATTTTATCGGGCGACCCCCACCTACTTCAGTCACAAATATATCGACTTCTATTCAAGATAAATGGGTAGGCTATTATTTTTGCCAAATTCAAGACAAATGAACGAGCTTTAAGATAATATTAATAACTCAATATATGCCCAAAAATTGATTAATGCCTGATTCCACCACATCTTGACTCAAAAATAATTCACATATTTAAGAAGATATCTCTACAACCTCAAACAGACAATGTAAAACAACAACAATAATCTGACTGTTTGGGCTTTGTATTAAATTCTGCTGCCTCTGGTAGGTCCTACATTTTTACTTTCACTCCTTTGTTTCTGTCTGTCAGTCTTACTTCCAGCACTTAATGACCATATCATTGTGTCGAAAAAATGGTATAGGTATAGCCCCTATTCAACATTATTTTAGATTATTTAAGAAGAACCACCACCCACGACAAAAACCACCACCGAAAAAACCAAACAAACAAAGAAAAAAATCAAAAAAACCGTCCCCAAGCACAAAAAGACAAACTCAAACCAAGCTCAAACCCCAAAACCCCAACCCGCAATCTCACAACAACGACACCAACAAAACAACCACTAGGCTACCGACGCTACTTTCATTTTGTTGATGTGATTCTCTTTACTCAAACAAACAAATAAATGCATGCTCTTTTTTTCTCTTGAATCTATTCACAGGTGTTGATGTAAGGTGTCAGTTTTTAAAAATATGAGTTAAAGAGTTGGATGGTACTTGGTATATAAAGCCAACTGCCCCTGCATCCCAGTTAGACTGAGATACGACGACAACAGCGCATGTGAAGATGAAGTTTGACGATGTTCTCGAACACCATGTGGGTGAATTCGGCCCGTACCAGAAATGGATCTACTTTCTGGCTTGCATACCAGCAGTGGCGGGTGCTTTTATGTCTCTCATGCCAGTGTTTATCCTCGCCAAGCCGGATTTCAGGTAAAACGTAATCTTATTTTTGTAACTGCTTTTCTGTGCCCTGCTTTGTACAATACAGTAGAATCATATCCGCTTGTGATAAGAATAATTGGATGCGCCTTAATATATATATATCTGTCTGACCGATTACGTAGGCTAAGTGTCAGATGTCATCTATTTTGGCCAAAATGCTGGAAAATAGCATAATGGAGACATTCATTTCAAACCTTATTGCGTCAAACTTGAAAATATCAAACACATCCAGCCTGCAGTTTTGCCTCAATCGCAATTCCTGGTGTTTCAGTGTCCCAGAGTTGCCTCTCACACCTTGTCCTAAAAATCCATTTTTCTCGAAACAATGAATATGTATGGATTTAATCACCTCTAACCTTAAGGTGAAAATTTTCACATAAATGCACAATAAGTTTGCTGGCAGATAAAGCCACCGAATTTTGTGAAGGCTATGATCTCGCATAACGTCAGAGTACATGATCTCTGGCTGAATGATTATATAAGAATGTTATCCACCATGTCTTTTAAATATTGGAAATTTTGGTAAAGCTATCTATTTTTCAGCTGTATCGTTTTGGCCTATTTGTAACTCGTTTCTATTCAGGACCATTTACATAACATGTCACCATGTAAACTGATTCAGCCTCTTATGGCAATGGTTTTTGTGAACTTTTGCTTTTTGTTTCGAAATATGATTTTTTGACATTTTTTTGTCTTCCTAAAAAGCCTTTTTGAAAGGTATATTATATATATGAATATATACATGGGCATATAAAACTCGAATAATGGGATAAAGGCACATGTTTACAATTCGAAGGCAATTGCATAAGATTTAAAAAATATTTTATGTGTGGCTCAGTGGTAAAATCAGGTGCTTTTCAAAATAATGAAGCTAAGAAAGCAACATTTTTCTGTTCTTTCGGCAATTTTTATTAATTTTATTTTGTTTTTTGGGCATAAAACCTTGTATGTCTATATTAGACCATAAATACTGTAAAACTAAAAGATCCCATGAATGTTGAGCTACATTTTGAAAGAACAGTGTTTTAAATTTCAGACTAGTTTTAAAATGACTTCAAAATGACCTCCATTTTTATGGCATCCTAATGGTGTAGACTTAAAAAGTTGAAACTTGATGGTTTCTGCTGTCTCTACTTGGCAAATACATCTGCAAAGATTCATACAAATCTGTCAGTAAATGACAAAAATTTCAAAAGGCATGTGTCCTTGACTGCTGAAGATGAAATGGGGACAGAAGTTATTGAAATGAAAAGGTTTAAAATAGACAGCGAAAGGTATCTTGTACTGTTCTTTGTTGGTAGTAAATGGCTTTTTAAAGATTTGTCATCAATTTTCATGATGTTTTTGTTTCTGTTCACATTCACAGATGCAAACTTCCTTTCATCGAAAATGACACCTATCACTTCCAGTCTGAGTACCACGAAAGACTGGTCAACGCATCGGTCCCCATTGACACGAACATATTCGGGGAGTTGCAGTTTGCAGAGTGTCAGTTATTTGACCATGGGAATGCAAGTGCCAACGGAATTTTGAACTCTAGCCTCAGTTCTAATTCCTCTCGTACCTTTTGCGATGACTGGGTGTACGATAACTCTGTGCATATCACAGCCATTTCCGACGTGAGTATCATGTTGTAGCCTTCGTTGCATCTCTATTGCTCAATGTAAGACTCTGCCATTATACGTCATTATGAGAAGTGTCTATTTAGTTTGTTTTAGTAAGAGTTTTACGGGGCTCGCAACTGCATAAGGTCATATGAGCGTGCAGAAGTGTCTATGAGGGAGTCTTACACTGAGCAATCCATCTGTATTGTGACATACAGTTTTGAAATGTAAAAGTCAGCTCTAATATGGTTGCTTTTAAGGACAAACGGGCTAACCCAGATTTTTGGGGTTTCCAGAAATCTTGACCTACACCAAAAGTGGGCGTTGCTCCTACCTCTAGGAGAGGTTTGGTTTCATTGGTGTGTATGTTTGTTTGGTTATAGAGAAAACTCTTCTTGTCTTTTAAAGAAACTGATTAAGGGGCAAAAGCTTCATCTTCGATTTTCTGAAAACAGCATTTTTCGGGATAGCCCCCGTGTGCTTAAAAGCGACCAAATAATAATATGTACTTTTGGTTGTACAACTATATTCAACTTTATAAGAGAGACCGTTGCTTTTTTTGTGACCAAAATACATTTTTTTCGTCGTGGCTCCTGTGGTCATACACAGTGGTGTGCGTTTTTTTCAGAGCACTTTAAAGGAAAGGACACAGGATTGGAATAATAATAAGAAAAGTAGAGACTCTTTTGGGTCCAATTTTCTGTTTGTTTCTTTACCAGTGAGAGGAAAATGTTAGAATTACATTCGAACCTGTCCAAGAAGGAATGGCAAGGGACTCCGGTAAAAAATTCCATTTTAGACATTTTCTGTCTTGGACAGGGGAATTTAGGGGGAAAGGGAGGGGGGAGGGGAGGGATTCCTATTCACAACATTGGAGGTTTCAGGACCTAAAAA